AAAACTTTCATAATCCAGGTGATAATTGAAAATATTAAATATATAAAAATATAATGTTATATACGTTAAATTTGGATAAAAAAATTATAATCTTCTACAAATTACTAATATGCCATAATTAAAGACATTTTTTATTTTCCAACCATAATCAAACGAGATTTTCTCTCTCTACAAAACGGGTTCCACAAAAACTCTCTTTCTAAACAACAGATTCACCAAAAACTCTCCAAAAACATCACGAAAATTTCCCTGGCATTCTCTGCAATCGATCAATAACGTCAATATGCTGGTAATTTTCATTTAATTGGAGAAAGTCGAAGTTCGAGTATGGAAGAATTCAATTTGCCCAAAGCAGAAACTGAAGTTTTTTGATCTAATTTCGAAGGTAAGCATATAATTACTTAGTATAGCTTATGATTTTGAAGAAACAGGTGTTTTCGAAGCTATTGAAACATTTATCCAAACATAATCAGAGATTTCACGCCGTTGAGAATAAACTATATTTTGCCCAGTGTGTGACGTGTATTTTTTCATTAACCATTGGTAGTATGCAATTTTTGTTTTTCAATTTACAGTCATGAACGTGTTGATCTATGACTGTTTTTGTGATTCGATCACATTGGTGCATATTTTTGTTAATTGTGACTAGTTGTGACCACTGAATTAAATAGATTGTGACATATATGTTAAATGTCTTTGACAGTCCATAAGTAGAATTAGTTTATTCTGTGATTAATGTCATTGCATTGAAAATTGATTCTCTGCGACACTAAATTTGTTGACCGTATGTGAATTTCTTTACATTAAATAACTTCTGTGACCTGTATTGATAGATCTGTGACTTCTTCATCTGTGGCCTGTATTCATCAATGTCATTGCATCTGATCATTTCCTGATTTTAGTGAATGAAATGTGACATTCTGTTATTTGTTTGTGATCAGGGATGACAATTTTGAACGTGTGCCTGTTATATGGAGGTCACACATCACTTATACTAGTGAATGATACGTGCAAGTATGATGAGTTGGTTAACCTTGTTATTTTAGAATTGGGGCTTAATCATGCAGAAGTAGGTGTGAGATTAACATGTTCTTTGGATTCTAGTTTATCTCCAGTTCGGATACTAAGTAATAATAATATCTTAATGTATTTGAGGCTAAGATCTTTGGATGGCATTGTATCGAACTATCCTATTGCAGTTGATGTTATCACTACAGACTCATGGCAGTCAACAGGTGCATTGCAATGCCCAGAGTCATCAATTACTACCATTGAGTCATCGACTAATGTGTTTTCTTTACAACAAATAGCTCAGGATATATGTGACTCGGTTACTACAATTGAGAACGGAAACATTGAAGAAGATGTGACATTGATATCTCAAGCAAATGCTAGAGAAGTAGTGGAGGGAAATGTTTTCCGCAATAAGGAAGTACTGAAAATGAGCTTGGCCCTCTATGCCATACAAAACAAATTTGAATATAAGGTGTTGAGATCGGACAAAAAAGAGTACGTAATAATGTGTTCCCAAGATGATTGCAAGTGGATATTTAGATCTTCACGCTTGGGAGAAACGAAAATGTTTAAGATCAGGAAAATCTATAATGGTCACACATGCTCAATGAACATTGTTTTAGGATCTCATCGACAAGCATCTAGCTCAATGGTGTCAAACTACATCAGGTACAAATACACTTCTTCACGTACAATATACACTCCTAATGATATCTCAAATGACATTTTGCACAAATATGGAGTA